CTTTTTCACTTCTTGAAGATTGGAAGGTCATTAAAACATGTGAGGTTAGATAGATGTGCCGCTCTTTAAAGGTGACAAGATGCCTCTAAGGACTTTCATAAACTTTTCAATATCTTGTGATCTGCAATGTTTGCTGTTGAGAAACTGCAGAAAAAGTGGAATCTTGGAGTCAACAACTCTCCATGAGACCATTCATCACAAGCTACGAATGAAAAGATTATTTCAAAGGCATGGAAAGAGAAAGCCTTTTCTGTCCTAAAATCACAAAATTTCACTACCTAAAATCAACTTTCTATCATGCACATCATATTTCCCAAAACCTAAATGCTACAGAAGGACCTAGAATGGACTGAAGAGAAGGTAAGAGAAAGATTGTACAAGGTCAAAGATTTGTTTCTCTCTATGCTACTACTTTGCAAGGGGTCTAGATGAGCTGTCCTGTTGGCAGAATGGGGTCACACAGCGTAATCATAGCACGGAATTAAATAAATATGGCTCTAACCTGTAATTTTAAATATATATACATATATTTTTTTTATATATATATATATAATATTTTTTTTATAAAACTAATTAAAAAAAAAACAGCTATATTCACAGGCTTTTCAGACACACTTGCAAGCAGAGTCAATAACTGTTGTGCTTTCTGTGCCAAAAGAAGAGCAGGACCTACATTAGGATGAAGCTCGCCTTGGGCATAAAAAAGGAAAATAAGCATGTAGCAACGCTGGTGTCTGAATCAAATTTGTTCTTAAATGCACATGTGATCTGCAGGTGTATTCCCTTGATGTGATTATAAAGCAGCAATGTGTTGTCTCATTGCCTGCACGAAGTCAACATAGCTGGTTATATGTGACTGCAGTTTGTCATTTACACTTGCAAAGAAGTTAAGCATACAACTGAAAATAAAGTAGCATCCTAAAGTGTTCATACCCTCTGAACATGCTCACAGTACAACAACAAATGTCAATCTGCTAATTGATAAATGAGCTGAATTTATATAATGCTTTTTACGACATACTAACTAATTAAAGCAATTTTTCTCTTTAGTCACTTCTGCTCAATTTCTCTCTCAGATATGCACCCATTCATCCACCAATATGCAGATCGAAAGTGAAATTGGGGTTAGTGTAAGTGCCTTGCCCATCAACATTTGAGGGGAGAAGCTGGATTCTAACTTAAAAATTTTAGATCACAAGACCTTCCCTTGAGCCATAGTTATGCATTTATTGGGATTTCTTGTGATACAGTAGATCAATACAAAATGGTGCTTAACACTAGATTTTGTGTGTATGTGTTCTTTTTCCCTAATATGGCTCTGGGAATAGATGTCCCAACAGGTTTGCTTTCACAAGCAGGCCATTATGACTGTTGCAATAAGGTTCTTAAATATGAAACGTTATTTAAACTTTTCCAGAAAAAAAAGATAAAAAGGACACAGAGACGGAAAGAAAGGTGAGAAATGGAGAGGGGATAAAAATTAAGGGTGGAGAGAAAGAGATAGACAGGAAAGAGGGACGAGCAGATGAAAACAGAGAAAAGAAAACAAACCAACAAAAATATCCAACACAAAAGATATACAGTAAATCCTTGAAGTCTGCCTCTGTACCTGCATGTGAGAATAGGGAAATAAATCAGGGAACAAAACACAAGCAAGAAGACAACAGACAACCAAAGTAACCATCAAAATAGCTTTGTGAGCAGCGGGTATCCCTTAGATATCTATGTGTTTGGAAGGCAAAACCTATGGTGATTACACAATATTATTCAGGGTTGTATGTATATGTAGCTACAGCTAAGTACTTAGTATTAGTCTGTATCCGTGAGCACATGGAATTAAACTCCTGTAGTATATATGCTTATCTATGAAGGATTTACAGAGCATTTTCAGAAAGCCGGTACCACACTTTCTCTAAAGAGCCCAGGACCAATGAAGAGGTAAACAGCCATAAAGACGGCCACATCTATGGGTGAGAAACAGTGCCTTCAGGTCTGGGAACATGGAGTGTTATAGCTGTGCTCATCCTGGGCCGATAATTTAAGAGGCAACACAAAGCCATCAGTGAGGACAAGGCCGACTACAGGCAGGCTATGGAGGTCCACTTTATCAGCAACAACAGCAGACAGGTGTGGCAGGGATTCCAGCACCTGACTAACTACAGCTTTAGCCAATGGCATTAGCTGGGTGGAAATACTCAAATACATCGTTCTTTTAAGATCTTTATTGCGGTTTGAAACATATTATATGTATATAACATATTATATTTTTTACCAACCATCTATATATATATATATATATATATATATATATATATATTTAGAGAGAGAGAGAGAGAGAGAGAGAGAGAGAGAGAGAGAGAGAGAGAGAGAGAGAGAGAGAAAGAGAGAGAACTACAGGATCAGTCCTGAAGTAAAATCTGAATGAGTGAGTAGATGACTTGAAAGAGAGGAAAATGTTCTGTCATGATACTGGTACTGATTACATTATTAGTAAATTTATTCCACCTGCTTAGCTCCTCCCAGTTTAAATCTGCCCTCATCTGATCCTGACCTGTTTGCCCCTGTTTCGGTCTGTTTCTGCCTGTTCCTGTGTTCGGACTGCTGTTTAGACTCTGGCTGTTAACAACCTTGGATCTGTCCCCTGACCCCAGCTTGGATTTCCCTTTGGTACCTCTGTGTCTCTCTTATCTACTGGTCTGGATATCTGCTTCGTCAGCTGCTCCAGATTCTTTCTCTAGACTCTTCTGCCCATCTGAGTCTGCTGGCTTCCACTCTACAGGCTTCTCTGCCTCCCTTCTGAAACTCTCTGGGCAGCTCAGGCCACAAGCTGTGGAGAAATCATCCATCTGGTTCCTACTCCTTCCACTGGGCACGGACAGAACTAAGAACCAAGTTAATGACTCACATGTTCATTATTGTTCCCTGTCTGAGTCTAGTGCTCACTAACCAGAGTATCGATCTCTACAGAGAATCCAGCAAGCCAGTCCAAGCTGATGAGCCATGCATTCCTGAGCAGTCAAAGTGTTTCATTTTTAAACAAACCTGTTCTGTCTGTCTGAATTCTGGGTTTTATTTTCTAAGCGCTGACATGTTCACTTTCAATATCCATATCCATCCATCCATCCATCCACCCATCCATCCATCCATCCATCCATCCATCCATCCATCCACCCATCCATCCATCCATCCATAGTTCAGCCTCCAACATATCCAAACACCTCACACTGTGGCTCTTACTTTATGGCCCTTGCTCCTGTCCCTTTACTTTTCATGTCAACAGCAACAACAATATCCAGGGAAGTAAAGAGCTCTGGACTACTGTGCTGATTCTGGATAGCCGTCAGCAATACGGAATGCATAAACACATAGATGATGCTGGTTGAATTGGAAGTACAGTATACCAATAAAAATTACAAAAAGAAACAAAAATTACAAAAATATAGCAAACTACTCAAGCTCTCTATTATATGACCTAAAACATATGAAAGTCTGTATATTTGCATGTGTCATGTAACGGAATGCTGCATTTTGCTAAACTATAAGGTGGACTGCTTCTAGCAGTGGATCATTAGGTGGTCCCTGTGCTAAATAAGCTATCAAATGGAAGCTTCCTTCCTCCTCTTTCTACTCTTTCCTCACTACCAGCACTACTCAGGTAGCCTTTATCATGGCAAGCTGACACACTTCCTCTTTGGCTTAAGTGCCCCTACTGTTTTGCACTGTTTGGAAGGAGCCAATGACAATTTGTATTCTATTTTAATCTAGTAAAATTACTGAAAATGCATGTGATGTTTTCCTTCCACTCTGATTAAGTCAGAGCTATTTCTCAAAAAGGAAAGGTTGTAACGTGTAATGTCTTTATTCCTGGAAAAAGACACCCAAAAGGGCTTGAAGCTGTAATTGCAGCCATTAAGCAAAGAAATGACTAAATGATTACAGAAAATAAATGCCCCACTTATTACATTTTGACTAATCATTAATATTTCCTATCCACATTAAAATGATACCCCTTTTTGTGTTTATTGGTCTAAAACATAAAACCGAGGAAATCACATTTGTGATTGCAAGTTCACAACAAGTGGACAAGTTCAGCAGGTTGTGGATACTTTCACAAGGCCTCATACATTCATACAAATTAGATTATGCACTGAATGAGGCTTATTTGTCTGATTAAATACATCTCATGAAAATAACCACCTTTAAAAAGGTATTAATTCCATTTCTGCCATTATAAATTTCTATTTATCTAATGTAATATTCTCATTCTGAATAACATATAATCAATTACAACACTGTAAAATTGTTCACTTTGAATTTACAGTAAATTACTAGATAAGTGTTGCATTACTTTCACAGTAAGGACTACAGCAATTCACTGTGAATCAAATTCACAACAACTTACTTTTTTTGAAAGTCATTTATATAATGAGCTTTAAAATATTAAAAATGCATTGAGCATGGTTGTATATGCCATGTTGTCTCCTTGAACCGCTGGGAGATGGCCGCTCACACTGAGCTTGGTTCTGCTGGAGGTTTCTTCATGTTAAAAGGGAGTTTTTCCTCTCCACTGTCGCTACAAGCATGCTTAATGTGAAATTTGATTGTATGATCTTGTGAACTGTAAAGTGCCTTTAGATAACATGTGCTGTGAATTGGCGCTATATAAATAAACTGAATTGAACTGAAACTGAATTAAGTTCAGGGAGTAGCATTTCTTACTTGGACTGGTCCTGAATCTGTTTTAAGAGCTATATGTTTGGAAATGATTTCCAATACACGCTTGACCTTTTATTCTAAGGTGTAAAGGTTGTGCACAGTGCAGCATGGAGATTCGGAGTCAAACAGTAAGAAGTCTCCCACGATGGTGAAATTCACAGAAGCATCACTCCCCATTGAGAATAATCAGATGTAACTCCGCCTTTTATCCACACTTCTTTACGCGTCCGCGCGTCTCCTGCCTCCATCAGTGTAGAAGGTAACTCCGCTGCGTGCATGAAGCTCCTGGACAATCACGCATCGTTCTAACGGTTTCTCTGCTCTATCTACTTCTTCAGCTATTGAAGGAGGGGAAAAAGATCAGCAGCTGCTATTGGACTTAACCCTAATAAACATATTTATTTATATTTTTACTTAGCGCATTCTGGCACATTATTGGATCAGCTTGAACTAAATGCTGTACATAACACCCGAACTGTCGAGCTGCTGATTCGGGTCATTTAAGTTAATAGTAAAAATGTGCAAAGCGGATAGAGGATACAGGGGGAGCTAACCGGATTCCTTTGGAATTATTTATCCGTGCCTTTAAGAGGAATTCAGTCAAACTTATGGCGTGAAGGTAAGATTTCAGGTTTTTTTTTATTTGCTTGTGTTTGTATGCATTTATCGCAATAAAACTTGAGGGGGAAAAAATAATAGGAAATGAACAGACTTTTTTCTTACTGTTGTACTATTCCGTTTTCTGTGAATGAGAGGGCGCACAGACGGTTCAGGTGCGCTAAGCTTTCAGAGGGGATTTGTTTCCATCATTGATCCTTGCTGGTGCGATTTAACCTTTCAGAGATGTGAAATTCGGGTGCTTTTTCTTTTCGGGTTTAGCAGTTACATCTCCTAAAGGGTTTTCTTTTATTTTTATTTTTTTTATTTTTTCTGAGCCTCCTAACCAAGTGTCTCACCTGGTATGCAGCGCTGGACTAAGCGCTGCTGAGACAGAAGGACTGAGCCGCTACTCCGCACCCTGCCCCTGGTACCCACTGAGCTGATGGCAGCTTTTCTAATAGCTGGATCCAAATAAATTAGAAGATATTATAAAAAAATTAAAAAAATAACTTTTGAGTGTTTTAAAATTATATTTATAAGTTTTATGAATTATTATTTTTAACCGCATGCACGTAATATTTTCCACTCGACCTACCGCTTCTACTTTTGGCAGTAAAATGACGGGTTTAATTAACTAATTATCACACCTTCTAGGGAGCATTGCATAAACCATTAAAACTGAAATGTACTTTTACATCTTATCTGCTCTTTAGCCCATGTGTACAACCTGCAGAGGTTAGGAGGAAGCCTAATTAAATCAATTTTCAGAAGCTGGTGAAGAGAAAAAATATGCTTGTGTTTATTATTAAATGCGTAGAATCGGAGTGTAAATGTTTCAGGATTGAAAATGTGTCTTCTAATCTTAATGAAAGCATTTTTTTTCTTGATAAATACCAGGGGACAAGCTGAGATTGGTACACTGTGTGTACGTGTGTTTTCCCGGTGACAGCGCCCAGACAAATATTGAATTCTACACACTCCTGTCTCTTATCTTATGCTCCTTTGTGAGCAAAACTGCTTCACCCTGATGCAGTGCTTGTCAGAACATGAATGCTTTTAAAATTGCCTTCTTAGAAGGACTAAAGGTTCACTCTTAAAGGGTGAATACTGGTTGCTTGAGTTATCAATAAATGAAGTTAAATATGAATCCCATTTAGGATTCCCATTTCAGTTACACATTTTGCAAGGCAAAGGCTATCTTAAATTATATTTAAATTATGAATGTACTATAAAATGCTTTATTTGGTGTTTATTAAGATTTTGCACACAATTTGATATCTGAAAAACATTTAAACATTTAAATTAGGATTTCATTACTTAAGTGAAAAATCCTCACCAACTTTGACCCATGCATTAAAAGTAATTACCTTCTTTGTGAATTTATAAACTAACCGTGATTAACTACATTATTAGGTTTAATTTCAGGTCAGGCCTACTCACCTTTTAATCTGTTTAATCAAGACAAAACCTTGCCACAGTATATCAATCTCAGTGATCCCTATGACTAGTTAGAACTAAAGAAGATCTTTGGATGAGAGGGGAAACATCTTCTAGAAAACTTCACATCCAGCTGCCTAAACCGAACTTTTTCAAGCTTGGGCATGACCTGGATGACTGACAATCTTTATAGATACAGTGGGGCAAAAAAGTATTTAGTCAGCCACCAATAGTGCAAGTTCTCCCACT